ATGGCCTACATCACAGCTCACACACATTTTGTATACACACATGTGGCCTACATCACAGCTCACACACATTTTGTATACACACATGTGGCCTACATCACAGCTCACACACATTTTGTATACACATGTGGCGTACATCACAGCTCACACACATTTTGTATACACATGTGGCGTACATCACAGCTCACACACATTTTGTATACACATATGGCCTACAGCACAGCTCACACACATTTTGTATACACACATATGGCCTACAGCATAGCTCACCAATGGACTTGCTTTGTTGTGAAGAATGATCATGTGACTGGTGTAGAGCGCTCAGAGCTTATACTAGTATGGGATAGAGCGCTATATAAATGCAATTTATTATTATTATTATTATTACTTGCTTGTTGTGTTTTGTTGTAGTAAAGGTGACAGCTGATCAACCTCTTGTTTTATTATAGTAAACGTCCTTGAGGAGGATGACGACGACCTGATGGTGGAGTGGTTCCAACTGGTCAGCGAGAAGAACGACCTTGTGCGACAAGAGGCTGACCTTGTCTACCTGTGAGTCTCGCAGACGCCCGCTGGTTGTGTGTGGTGGTTGTGTGGGGTGGTTGTTTTGATTGTTTGTGGGATTGTTTTCAGAATACTGATTGTAAAAGTGGGTTTGTCTCTGGTAGGTCCTACTTGTTTTCTTTCTCTCCATTGTGTCTGTCTATCTGTCTTACTCTTAGTGTCAACAGTTTTTTTGCTTGTTTTTTTCTTTTTTCTTAAAATCATGGTTGGTGGTTGGAGGGCGCTACTGGTAGGTTCTATTTCTTTACTTTCCTTCTGCTCTGTCTGTCTGTCTGTCTGTCTGTCTGTCTTACTTTTTCCCAGCATTAAATGACCATCGTTGTGTCGATGTGATTCTCTTTACTCAAACAAACAAACAAACAAACAAACAAACAAACAAACAAACAAACAAACAAACAAACAAACAAACAATCAAAATCATGACATGTGCAGTTACATTGTTCTGTCGTTGGCAGTGGGAGGGTCAGCTTCATCCAATGTTGTGTCCTTAGGGAAGACATTTCACATTTCTTAGTTCACATTTCACAGTTCACATTTCACAGTTCACATTTCACAGTTCACACAAATTTACCCGTTTGTCTCATTTCTATCGGGAATGGACGTTACATTCGTTGAAACACCTTTTGTGACACGGTGAGATTATTGAAGAGGTGGACACTCCAAATTTAAGGTCCACCTACAATTTTTTTAAAACTCTTGTTACTTTGTGTGAATGTCCTCATGCTGTGTGTCAATGTCCTCCTACTGTGTGAATGTCCTCAGGTCCCGGGAGCAGGACTTGGAGGGTGAGCAGGATCACATCGAGAGTCAGCTCCGCTACCTCATGAGTCTG